GGTATCATTTTTATTAAAAGCGGAATACGATTACATCCAAATATCCAACGGAAAAAGTTACCGCACTAATATTTACGTATTCAGTATGTTGAAAAAATTAATCGCAGAAAAAGATGTCAGTTATTGTATAATAAAGTATGCAATATATAAGCAATATATTTGATATAATCTGCTTTAGATCTTAATCTCTACGTAAGAAATTATACGTTGTAATCCCTTTTATTATTTTATATTGACATTTGTGCTTTTTGTGTTTTTCTATTACATTAATTATATAAACCTTCTTTATTAAGTATTTTTACTTATGCATAATTGACATTACCTCTGCCTTTTTCAATAGCACTCGAATATTTTAACCAAAACAAGAAAAAAATATATTGTAAAATATTCACGCATACATGTGTGTACCCGCACGCACGCGCACACATATAGAACATTTTAAAAGTATCAGCAGTGCCAATAGCCAACGTAATCATTTACTACAAATTACTGCACTGCAATATGTCAAACTGATCTTTAAATTACACAATAAAAAATTCAGTCTATTGTATAGCACTTCTTAGGTATTTACACCATTTTATATATATATATATATATATATATATATATATATATGTATATAAAGTTACGCCGGAATAAATTATTAAGGTCCAAATTGTTGTTTAGGTAATTTAAAATTTTACAAACGTATTTGAGTCAAATATAAATCTTTAGTGCGCATTCTTTTGTCTATTAAACAATCTTTCATATCTGCAAGCACGGCATTCAGTTTAGATAGCATATAGTTTTTTTCAAATGTGTTTACATTTTGTTTTATATATATTTACATTATTTGGTAAATCTTAATAGCCAAAACTTGAGTAAAGGCATATTTTTGAGTTTCTATAAAATACGTAAGGTACTTCTGTACTTGTCTGCAAAATCGGCCATATTTATTCCAAGTATACATAAACTTCTTGCAACTTTTGTATGAAAGACAAATGACGGATGATGAGGACGATAAGGACCATGATATATTGTATCAAAAAATTAAGAAATGATGAGTGAATTTCTCTCATCATACTTGATAAATCAGATCTGAGTAGAAAATCTGGGACGTGGTAAATCTCCAAATACTGTATCACCATGGACGCTTTTAGCTAAGGCTTTAATCGAAGCTCGAATGTTGTGTGGATCTAGCGGATCGGTTGGCAACTGTAATTATATAAAACATAGACATATACGTGTGTGTGTGGTATTCTTGGTCTCGAGTAAATTTCAATCAAATAATATCTATCAAATGGACTCAAAAGATGTATGAAGGTTTTAAAATTGTATATCTATGTATATACACTCTGCAGAAATTAAAATGTAGAGTTTTACCTGGTCATCGTCTTGATTCTGTACTGCGCGATGACCGATAGAAGGAAAAACGGGTACGGTGACGGGTAATGATTTAGCTAATGTGGAATGACCATCCCGTTGACCTCTTGGCATATGAATTCCTTCATTTTGGCTTGAATCTGAACAAAACGCTCGTATTATATAGACTTGAATCCAAACGAAACGCTACTGTACTAAGATTAACGTAATACGTTATACCATCGGTATCAGACCCCTCTTCCGAAGACCACAGAAGCTGTTGGCTGGCTGCGTCTGTCTCCTCCATTCCTTCGAAAGGAAACAATGCTTCTGTATCGAAGCTAGCTGATTCTTTAGTACAAATATATAACGGATCTTTTTTTCTCGAACTTTCATTCTATAAAGTTTATTATCCAGATTTATAATTATAATAGAGTTATAATTACAATAAAGAGATTTTGGATCTCTGCAGATCGAGTAAACTGTGATATGACAAAAGTGACTTACATTAATGGTGCTTTCAGAAGAGTGTCTGGTGGTTGTCTCGTGTTTAACGTTTGGGCCACTAGACACTTTTGTGTCATTAAATATTATATTAGACTTTGGATTCACTGTATTAGCAGTGGAGGTAGTCAAGGAACCTTTAAAGCCGTCAGGAGTCGTTGGTGGAGTTTCTATGTTATTGGTTATTCTACTTGTCTCTTCTCCTCTACACGCTATTCTACGTGTGCAGAAAACAAGTTGCACGAATTATTACATAATAATAATAATAATAATATAATACACATACTTGTGTAAAATCATACTTTGATAACAGTCTGTGTTCGTTGTGTGCTCTTTCACGAAATTGTTCCAGCAATTGATACTGCTCCGCAGTAAACGCACGTATTTTATCTTCTATCGCCATTGTTTGACGTTGTACAGCTTCCTCGAGCTGTCGTTGTAAACCATCTAGGGCCACTTGAACCGTGTTAGGTAATTGTGAAACTAGATAAATAAAATACATAAATTAATTATTTTGAAAACCAACAAAACCGAATACACGTTAAACTTGTACGCACGTGTCGACTTACCAGAAAACTTCGTAGGCTGCTGCAGATAGTCGTCGAGATCTTCCAAACTGTGATTAATTACTATCCTAAACACCGGACTATAATCTGGATTGGATTTTAATTTATTTATTTCTTCGGGAGATAACTGAAACAATATACGTATCTTTTCTTATCCAACCAAGTTATTCCAAGGTTAAACAAGCCCATAAAAATGAACAATACATCTAACGTTTTATCTTAATGTAATTTATGTAAACAACAAATGTATATCTATATTTAATATCATATCGATGTGCAAAGACCGAAATCGTGACCTTGATAAAATCAGCCGGTCGTCTCGGATCGTCAGATTGTCACGGATAAAGAACGGCTACATAGTTTACTATTTTGCATAGGTTATATATTAGTTAAATAATGACCAACATTCAATCTTTGGAAAGGCTAATATATCATCCGTTAAACAGTTTGTTGCGTCAACGGAAAAGATAAGTGTGTCATGTAAGAAAAAAAAACTGAATTGTATGGCAAACGCAAAGAGATGATTTTGATCGAGATCGAGATCTCCATCGTAAATGAATATCTTTTACGATAAGTTTGTTTTCTAAAACTTACAAGAATATTGTTATTGATAAGGACTAGAGCAGCACCGTATTCTCTATGGACCGCATGAGTATACATTGAGCAATTGTAGCAACGGTGTATAATCCATGACCCAACATTCCTTATTTCCATTAAACCAGGTTGTTCTTTAGTAATAGTTTCCAATTCCGGTACACTCGCCAGATTCTGTCAAAGATAAAATCGATATATACATTGTTTGTCAAATAAATTGGAAAAAATAATTTGTTTTACGTTTTAACTACAATTAAGCGACTAACAGTGACAGTATGCAAGTATGCCAGTGTGACATTATTTTGAACAAATAAGAAAGCACGGGGTGGGTTGGGTGTCGAAACAATTTTAGTCTCTACGTGCTCGTCGTTAGAAACACGTGTGAACAGAAAAGAAAACATGGTATCACGCGGTACTTGATGTTAATTAAATAAGTTAATTCTGCGCGAATATTAGACAAAATTTTGCATAAAAAACAAGGAAGATTAGCCAAGACGTACGATTTGACCGATACATGAAATAAGATAGACTAACGCGACGACCACAAAGTATCAGGTATCAGGTTCAGGTTATAGGTTATAGGTTATCGTCACGCAGCAAGAAACATTGAATCGGTTATCATCGCAATGAATTATATACGTCAACGTGAGATCTATTCGTGACACGTGGCACGAAAAGGTACACATTTTCTCACGTCTACAAAAGTGAAGAGATTAAATTCCAACGTCGTACCATCTTTTTTCAAAATCTTTGCGGCAAAACAGATGCGGGAGGAAGGAGGGGGAGGGGGAGGGGAGGGGGCCGGGGCGCCGGAACATAGAGCGATAGAGCCTGATAGCCCTGATAGAGCCGCGCTCGCGGAATCTCACTGTTCACTGTCAGACACGTTTCACTTTTCTTTTATTTTCTTTCTCTTCCCCTTTGAAAATTTAATCGTGGACTACTCTTTGAGGGAATGAGGAAACCTGGAAACCTTTCATTCACCTCGCGAAAAAAGGCATCGGCGCGCTCCAAGTCGGTCAATTCGACGTTAATCCGCTGTACGTCGGCGCTCCTGGACTTGATGGACACGTTCAGGCACTTGCAGGTGATGTGCATCTTTCAACGATCGGCAAACGCCAAACGCCAAGTGTTTATTGTTGAGAGGCCGCAGCCGAGAGAACGCTGCAATCTGCAATCTGCAATGCGCTCGAAACAGTCTAAACACTCTAAACGTAATGTGTTTCTCTCTTCCCTTTTCGGAGGTCGGGGTCGGAGTCGTCGGAGATGCGCGACCCAATCGTCAGTCGCCAGTCACCCTATCTCCCAACCCAAGTCCCAGGTCCCAACACGGCACGAACTCGCTTCGCTTTCGCTTTGCTGCTACTACTACGCAGTCTACGCACTTGATCGCAGGTGCAGTTTCGATTCGACTTTTGTGAGTTTGCTGCGCGCTCTCTCCCTTCCTCCCTGCTGCCTCTTTAAGATTGTCTGGCTTGGCTGGGCTGGAGCAGGGAGCTGGAGGTTGTTTCAATCAAGTAGCCGCGAGACGTCATCTATGTCCTATGAAAAAGCATCGAAGATATATCATATCATTTGCGATCAGATAAAGCACAGACACAGACTGCCAAAGTTGTTATCTCTTTTGTTTGGCAAACCCGTTCAACGTTGTTAACGTTTTTCCGAAAGAGAAAGAGAGAAACGTGCACGACAGAGCAAGAAAACCAACAGTGAGCGATGCTACGTGAATGTCATGAATCGATCGCGCTTATACGTGTTACATTCGTCGGTAACTTATCCAGGATTGCTCAAGTGCCATATATCCTTGATAATACTTACAGTCGATAATAATTATAAATGTACGTGCAGTTGATAGAATTATCCTTGAAAGCATGTATACTTATAATTTATAATCCGTAATTACGACTAATATTGGCAATCTTGTTTTTTGCCGTTTTTATAGATTTTATATATACTTATAAAGACACAGAAAATTTAACCACAAAGTGCGTTCAATCAAATTTGTAATCTTGTCTCATGTCAGTTATATTATCTCGCTCATGAATATACAATCACATGAATGTAAAGATGCATTTATACTATACATATATATATATATATATCGCACCCTACCAATATATTCTATAAAATAATGGTCCTATTTGATCACAATCATTATTAATTACATGTCACTTATGTAACATAAAAACCAAATATTATACGATACATAACGTGTGGTACATATTATGCATACCAAAATAGAAGGATATTATACATATATACACGTATACGTGTACACTTGCCGACATATATACATTCGAAACAAAATATTTCAGTATTCAGGACGGAATACTTAAAAAATGCCATATATATTCGCCATTTACGTATTTCCTATATCCCCGTGTTTTATTAGTCATATTTTGTTTCTAGCTTCGAGATTTCTCCCTTCCATTTAAAATATTCATTAAAACGTATTGCAGCATATCTAAAAAATCATGTAAAAGTTTATTGTAATAAATTATTTGACCCAAGTATTTCTTTTCCTAACTACGAACCACGAACTCGTGTCACGCAAGGAACGAATAATCAGATTATTATTATATTATATAATACGTGCCGTTATGTCTTTACGTATTATTTATACTTTCTATCAGATTTGATAAGTTTGTAATTTTTTTTTATTGACAAGTACTTACGCCAAAAAATCAAAATCGATATGCGAATGCTCACTTTGGATGAGAGCCCAACAGGCCCAAAGAAAGTGGGGCAAGGGAGTAAATTTAGTAACTTGCCAGTATAGCTTGTCAACCTCTCTCTCGGACACCGTAGTCGTCGCATTGTACACTTGCAAATATTCTTTTAACCACATTCTTTGGAAATTTTCATCCGGATACAAAGAATAATCTGGCTCGTCAAAACCTTAAAAACGCGACGTGTTGGACATTTTATTTACGAGACACTTTGTTGCTAGGGTTTATGTACACGATGTGAAATGTTTTCTAATCTAGTATACTTTTGAAGCGATTAAAGACGTAAGCGTACGTACCGGCAAATTCTGTAAAGTGATTAACTATATCAAATGCCTGATGGTTGAACGCAGTGTATTCATAATCGATAAAAACGACGCTCTCCCGTTTTGGATTGTACAATATATTCCCTAGTAGAAGATCATTGTGAGCGAACACTACGGGACTATTCACTTTGGAAAGTGTACTTTTCAATATCTGATATTCTTCCTCCAATATTGCATGCGACGGTATTAACATTTCAAACCTTAAAGTGGAAGCTATTATAAGAAATAAACCATTTGGATATATATCTTATTGTTAGATAATATTTGGGAAAATCTGTGTGTCGTAATCGCTTACTTTGCTTGCTTGAGGGAGTCGGAAAATCTTTTGGGCATAATTTGCATAAATATCTTCGTTTTTTCCCAAATAAAGGCTTCTTTTGACACGGATTCGTTTTCAAATTTGAGAGTGTGCATTTCAGCCATACGTTTCGCAATTAATGGGTATACTTTTGGATTCCTGACTGTTTCAGTGGTCAGAGTTTCACCCTCCAAAAATTCATAGGCAAATCCATTGTTAAATGTAGCATAAATGCAATGAGTATAGCCAGCCTTGTTCAATATCTATACAAAAATATTTATTCCATATTAATATATTAGTTACTGTTTACACGTTAAAATGTTTGCTATATTCGCTATATATTATATTTCTCTGTGTGCATCTTTTAATAATATCTATGCACGTTGATAAAATAAATACATATAAATTACAGTAGCTAAACAACGTATTAATTGAAATGTGAATGAGACGACGACATTTATAATAACGTTGCAAAACCGTTAAGATCTTTACCCGGATATTATTTATTTCGCTTTTTCGGTCGATCAGTAATGCTGAATTGTTGCCATAAATTCTAATCAGGACCATATCTGTATAATGTCCCGAGTACCATACTCCTACCAACTTATTTGTTCTTCCATCAGTGAATATCTAAAATAAAAAAAACAAAGATATTCTCATAGAGTTCATTCGGACTGGTTTTCGGGGTCATACCGTCGGGGGGTAATCACAATAACACTATTTCTACCTTATTGGATAGAAACTTGTGTATTATTTATGTCAATGTTTAAAACTGTATGGATATAAGAAAAGCCAAGACATCTACGTCTACATATCTATATTCCTTATTACTTGATAACAAAATTGATAAAACCGATTCTTTCAAGTATCAATATTAATCGCCCGCAAGAAGTGAGTACATCGAATATATAATGATTAATGAAAGAGGCATTGAAACTGTACTGCATATCAATGTAAGTAAAGGTAAACAAAAGTTATCAGCAGATAAATTAGACAAATTGATGAGACAAGCGCTATCGAGTCTCAGATGACCTATTTTTTAAACTTTAAACGCTAAAAGAATAAAAGATGTACGATTTGATTTTGAATCCGTGTATTACCTTGAAATGCAGTTGTTGTAAAGGCCAGGACGGTCTAATTTTCTTTATAATATCTTTCGCACCAACAATAATTTCATTTTCATCTATCGTAATGTCAAGATGTTCCTCACATATATTCATAGCTCAATGCTATTTTATGGAACGATAAAAGAGTTTCTTATTTAAAGATTACTTGAATTAAATTATATCACGGATCTGTTGGTACGTTCGTTCCACGTATAGGTCCAATATTTACGGATGTCCCACGGCAACTCTGACAACCGACGGAGCATTGGGCAACTGAATGAACTGAAACTGAAGAAGCAGATCCTCTATATGTATATATATATATATATATACACATGTATATGCTCCCCTCGTATACAGATATGTATATAAGCGATAATATTCTGATAAGCGAGGGTAGCAGTAGCATATAGTCAATTGGAGAGAATTGCGAAATCCGAACGCGATGTGCATATATCGATTAATAAAGCAATTCCGCTTATCAGTAATTGTAGATTGTAGTTTACTTACATACATTAAATCTTTTACATATTCGTGTATGTACCTATATCGATAGATAAATGTATAAGACAGGTGATTTCGTTTTGTTTGTTAAACTGTTTTGGAAACTGTTCTCAGTGGTGTAGTAAATGCAGAAATTTTTAAATCGTAAGTACGCTGGTCCTAATATACTTGTGTTTTTCTTGAAGATTAAGGTGCCTTCAACAACCGTGCTATGCTATTACCTATATCATATAATTTACCTACATCACGATTGTGAGGTTATGGTTATACCAACATAATTGTTATGCTAGGATCTACAATGGCCGCGTTCAGCAGACACAACTGTTGAGTTCGTCTTATCAACACTCTGCGTTGATTGGTTAGTTCTAAAAGTAAGAGCCAATGACGTTGGACCGCTACTGAGCGGCTTGGTCTTGGTCTGCTGAACGCGACCAATGCGAGTCGTAAAGTCGTGAGTCGTAAGAATTGACCAATCACAATCGAATTTGAGGAGAATAATCGACTGTGTGTGGTCAATTTTTAAGCGGGGAGCACACATAAGAAAATTGATTGGTCCATACACATGTGCATAAGGAAATAGACCAATCAATTTTCTTATGCTTACGCATTATGCGTTGTGTAGAAGTGTGTGCTCCCCGATTTAAGGTCAATCCAGACAAACTTGCATAGCGCATAAACATATAAGCATAAGAGAATTGATTGGTCCATATGCATGTGCATAAGGAAATAGACCACGCCGTTTTTTTATGCATATGGTTATGCACCTATGCAAGTTTGTCTGGATATACCTTTAAAGGCATAAACACTGCCTTAAGGTTATAAGACAGCCATTCTGCTTAGGCCCTTTATCTGATTGGCTGGTTCAGTAAAAAAAGCTCCAGGTAATTAACGCCAAATCTGTGAGTGGCGCTGTGGTCAATCGCAATCGTGGTTTCCGTCTCTCGTCTCTCTCTCCAAACAGAGTGCACAAGTGCACCTATAACCCCACTTTTCAAATAAAGGCAAACGCTCGCCACGCTCGGTCTAGAGTCTAGACTGTACCTGTAGAGTTCTCTCGGGTGCTTTGATTCGGATTTCTCTCTGTTATATCTGTTTAGAGTTTTGAGGATAAGGATTGTTTCAATTTAACAAAATATTCGAAAGTATTTGAGTGAGACAAAGGTTTAGAGCAAACTGCTTGTAATTGTTTAAAACTTGAGCTAACAATGTCAAGAAAGATGGTACTTGGTCAAAAGAATAGCAGCCAATCTACGATAGTGGGATTTTTGGCAAAGACAACGAAGAAAAATGTTATTCCGCGGACTAGGTAAGAAAGATTTAGTCCATTTTATAAATGCCTAAATAAATAAAATAAATGCGTAACACACACACCTCAATATATTTGAATTTTGCGACTGCAATATGTCTCATGTTCATATTTCTAAAATTAATGATTGATTTTTTTTTCTTTTTAGTACGCCAAAGTCAGTGGAGACAGAAGAAGAAGCTGATTCAAATGTGGATTCAAATGAACTATCGAGTACGTTGTGCTTTAATCAAGAAAAGAGGATAGCTGGAGACTCAATAACGATAGACACAATAATAAATCTTGTAAGATTACAGTTTTATTTGGGTAAAACAATGCAGTGTTATTTTCAGTTAATATACAAATATACCTCATACATTATTACGATTTACGAAATATCTGTGATTTATTGGGGAAAAAAAAAAAAAAAAAAAAAAAAAATAATTGTATGACTCGAACATTTTAAACCACAGGATAATTCAGACACTTCAGACTTGAGCAAAAGTCCGCTTAAAACACGACCAAGTGCAATGGAATCGTATCGTGTTAAAAATTCAATAGCGAAGGAAGAGAGAACTGAAAAAGAATCTGGATGTTCAAATGTATTGCAAAAGAATAGCGATTACATGAAAACTTGTGTTATCTCCGAGTCTTCTGACAGCGAGCAGGAAGACAAGAAGGACATTAGAAGACGCTTACGTTTAAATCAATATCCAAATAGAACGGAAATGGAAGAAGATGATGAGAAGATGCGAGTTGTTGTTTCACAAAATGATCATTATGCTAAATGCAGCAGTCAACATTCCTCTTCTACTAGTAGTACAACATTATTGGTGGGAAATAAAGAAATACTTAACGACGACAATGACATTATGTCTAAAGATGAAGATGAGCGTTTATGGACTCTTAAAAAATACAATATAATATCCAATAAACAAGGGAAAGATACTATAATTTCAGATTCTGATACCGATAGTCCTAGCCCAAAGTTTAACGGCAAGAGATTGCCGAGAAAAAATTGGGATGGCCCTGACATTCGATTAAATCTGAAAGATTTAGGCTTGAACAAAGAATTAGGTTCATGGATTGACGTTATTCAACAGAAACCAGTAATGTCCACAATACCTGTAAGTTTCATATCATGACTTGATATTTCGTGTGCGTATGTGAAATGTTTAACGTCCACCTATTTATTTTTTGTCTCACTTTCTCCATTCTTCTATTTCAACCTTAGGTTACCAAGGATAAATTGCTTAAAAGACGCGAAGATTTAAAGGAACTTGAAATTGAAATTCTTGACAAATTTTTTAGCGCACTCGAGTTAATCCCATTACCAATACTGGAACAATTTCCAAAATTTGACCCAGTCTCTTTCAAAAAGTTGCAAGGTCTGCGTCGACATATAAAAGCTAAATTACGTTTAGTACAAACAAAATTATCAAAATTACAAAAGGAAGATGAAAATAATATGTATGAGTTTCCGGAGACAGCTGGGTCTGCATCGTCAAAATCACGTGAAACACCACGTTCATGCATGTCTGAGACTCGCTCGATAAATGACCATGACACGTTTGACACATCATGTACCTCGGTATCCAAATGTACTCGTGCACCCTTTCGTCAAGGCTCGGCAAGCGTAACGGAATCGTATATAAATGCAAAGGAGCACGCGAACGGCATGGAACCTATGGCAGCAGTTAAGCCACCTGAAACTACAGTTTCAAATAAGAAGAGTACTTTTCAATTGAAAAGACCTATCAAAACGGTATTAGGCAGTGACGTTTCTAAAACAATAGCAGACATGTGGGACCAACAAATGTCATCTAAGACAATGAATTCTTCAGTGGATTCCGATTGTGCTTTCGTAAAGGACATATTTAACGATAGTATTAAAACGCCGTCAAGTAATGAAAAAAATATGCAAGGAAATGTCGTCTTGGACAGTCCGGATAGCCCAGGTAACAAAAGTGCAGACAAATGACAAATAAATCACTAACTTTTTCTGCTTTGAGTTCTTAATGAAAAAATATTTCATAGGCACCTGTCAAAGATTTACTGCAAAAGTTGAAACCTCTCTCTCGATACAAGATTTGGAACAATTCCCAGCTTTAGGAGAAGATTGTAATATAAATATAAGTGACGATTTTACAGGTATGAGTTTTTATATGTATATATAATATGTAAAACTTTGTTTTGTTTATACATTTATGCTGATAATATGATAAATAATGCTTATTTTACGCCCATTTTGTAGAGTGGCCACAGAGTAGCATGGCACAGAATAGGACGTACAACGATGATGAAGTAAAATCAAAAATCGAAAAAGATAGCGTAGAATATGGAAAATTTACCGGCAATTATAAAAACGATGGTGTCAGTGGAGAATTTGATGGTTTAACATATTCACATTCGCAAGAAATGTTAAAGGTACATAAAGTATTTGTATTCGTTAGGCGAGTATACGACCGTTATACATATAAATATTAAATAATTTATGCACACTCGACGTACATGTTGGACCACGTGTGAGAACATATAATATTGTGCATTACGTATGTTTCTTGATTTTAGATATTTCGGCAGAGATTCGGTTTATATACGTTTAGGCCAAATCAGTTGCAAGCTATTAACGCAACACTTTTGGGATTTGATTGTTTCGTTTTAATGCCGACCGGAGGTGGAAAGTCCCTTTGTTATCAATTGCCTGCCCTTTTAAGTATCGGATTAACAGTTGTTATCTCACCATTGAAGAGTCTTATTTTAGACCAAGTTCAAAAACTTACCTCACTCGATGTAAGAGAAAGTATTATTATATGTTAGATACATACGCAGAGAAACAATGTAATATTAAGTACACATTTACATTTATAGAAGCGTATACTCGTGCGTCATATATCACTTGCTTCAGTCTTGGTTTAAAATTTGCAGATTCCTGCGACTCATTTATCCGGCTCTATAACAGATAATCAAGAAACTGCGATATATAGGGAACTTTCCAAAAAAGAACCTGCTCTCAAAATATTATACGTAACACCAGAGAAAATCTCTGCGTCGCAAAAATTCTGTAATACTCTGACTATTTTATACGAGAGAGAATTGTTGGGAAGATTTGTTATTGACGAAGCTCACTGCGTTAGTCAATGGGGTCACGATTTTAGACCAGATTATAAAAGGTTAAGATGTCTCAGAGACAACTATCCCAAAGTGCCAACAATGGCTTTAACTGCAACAGCTACGCCGCGTGTTAGAACAGATATTTTGCATCAATTGGGTATGACTACGCCAAAGTGGTATGTATGTGTATATCTGTATATGTGCGTGTGTGTTAGCACGTTGAATATATATGTATATTATATATATATATATATATATATATATATATATATATATATATATATGATATATGGTTACTTTTTCAAGGTTTATGTCGAGTTTCAATAGACCTAATTTAAGATACAGCATAATATCGAAGAAAGGAAAAAATTGTTCCGATGAAGTTGTGGCTATGATAATGACAAAATTTAAAAACACTTGTGGCATCGTGTACTGTTTATCGCGCAAGGATTGTGACGATTATGCTGCGCATTTGAAGAAAAACGGCATTAAAGCGTTGAGTTATCATGCAGGACTCCCAGATGGTCAAAGAATTAACTATCAAGGAAAATGGATTGCCGATGAAGTATATTTCGTACAATATCTGCGCGCGCGTGCGCATACGCATATATGTATAATATAAAATTATATTGCATCTACATACACGTTTTTCCAGGTACATGTTATATGTGCGACTATAGCCTTTGGAATGGGCATTGATAAACCAAACGTGCGCTTTGTGATACATGCAGCCTTACCAAAGTCTATAGAAGGCTATTATCAGGAAAGCGGTCGCGCTGGTCGTGATGGTGAGATAGCAGATTGCATTTTATTTTATCATTATGCAGACATGCACAGAATCAGAAAAATGATTGAACTGGATAATCCAAATCCACAAGTTATCAGTACCCACATGGATAATTTGTTTAAAATGGTAGCATTCTGTGAAAATACTACAGATTGCCGTAGATCGCTACAGCTTAATTATTTTGGAGAAATATTTGATAGGCAACAATGTATCGCGAATAAAATAACTGCGTGTGATAATTGCAGATGCAAGGTAGGTACATTATATAGCGTAGAAGATGAAGAAGACGTGTCACAACAAAAATATAGTTGACTGACTGAACGTAATACTACGTAATAATTTTAGGACGAGATTACAATGTTGGACGTTACTGAAGATGCGAGAGAGATTATGAAAGCTGTAAGAGATATTAACAATAGGAAGACGTGCAAGCTTACACTAGTATTCTTGACAGATATTTTTAAGGGCAGTGATCTGAAAAAGATTAGAGAATCAGGTTTCGTACTCGTTTTGTATATAACAGTAGAATGACGTGAGTTGGTATTTACATCACGTTATACAATTAAATAATTCTTTTTTTTTTTTTTTTAATAGGTCTTACGAAACATCCTTTATATGGTCGCGGTAAATCATGGAACAGAAGTGACATAGAACGCCTTATGCACTATATGGTATTGCAAGAATATTTGCAAGAAAACATGTATATTAATCATGAGATTGCTTGCGCATATGTAAAAATTGGACCGAGAGCGACGGAACTTTTGACAAAAAAAGATGTAAAGGTATTTATTCTTGATAGGATATTCAGAATGCAATGTATACGTGAACAAGCTTGACAGTGCGTTTTAGATATTTTAGATATAGTAATGTTGTGTGTGTGTGTGTGTGTGTGAGATAGGAGATGGGAGACATTATTTTGTCTATTATTTGCCTTTCATGCGTTGTGTGTTTTACTTTATCTTAAACAGGTACAAATTCCAACGAGACAATCGAATAAATCTACGAGTGGTGTAGCTACAGTTTCAACAGTTACGAAGAAACTTGATGGCATTGTAAAAGAATTGCAAGATCGTTGCTATGCCGAATTGATGACAATAATAAGGGAAATCGCTAGTACATTGGATGTTTCTGCTTCTTCCATTATGAACATGGTAGCTGTCAGAGCTATGAGCCAGCGTTTACCAGAAACCGAAGAAGCCATGTTACAAATACCACACGTTACTAAGGCTAACTTTGTTAAATATGGCAAAGCTCTTTTAAACATTACGCAGAAATACGCGGCAGAAAGAACAGGTACTCGATACTCGCGTATAATATAACATAAAGTAGTACTTAACATTATTGATTATTCCATTATTTTTAGTACTGTTAAATGAGAACGATGAAGAACAGAACAGCGATGATGACGATAATACTTGGGATGACAATACGTCCACCTACTCTTGCACCAGTAGTGGTACTAGCACGCGCGGCAAGAAACGAAAGATTGGCACGAGATCTAACAGTACTAATAAAAAGTATAAACGGGGTGGCTCAAGGTAATGTAAAAAGAGAGATGTGTACACGTGCGCACGTCACTTCTCTTATTACACACGTAACGTAATGGTTGTACGTTAGGGAAAAAAAAAATCACACACGTATACGTACATATTTTATTTTTTTTTTTTTCGGTTATTTACAGTGCGCGGAGAGGAAGAGGTTCGTCGAAAAGCTCATCGAGAGGTTCAACAAAATTAAACACTACGAAAAAGGTAGTAGGACTTGCGAGTTTCAGTCAAACAAAACAATATCTCGCAAATCCCAACAGATACATGAACATTACCTAATCGATTTTTTTCCGTTTATTATAAATTATTACGGCGTTTGCGATAGTGCGCACAGATACGATCCCTTTTGGGCGCTATCCGAAATGGCTCTCTGTATGGCGTTTTAGTCATTATATTGAATGAAACACGTTGATTATAATAAACACTCGCATAATTCTATTTGAATTCAAAGTAATCATCAGACGACCGACATGTATGTAAGATAAAAACTTTTGTAATAAAATAATTTTTGAGACCAATGTTGAAATTTCGTTAAAAAAATTTCCTTACGTGGATAAATAAAATATAATTTTATCATCGTCTACGCACGTGAACGGAGTGTACACGAACGGAATAATATTAGATTTGTTTCAAACGACAATATATGCTTTTACGTATTTATCTACTATTTTATGCGTCGTACGTTGGACGTTTTCAACACTTTTCAAGTTTATATGTCACTATCAGAGCTTAGCGTACTACCCTGCTATACGTGTTAGGGCTTGTCTTACTATTATATTTGCTATACGATATATATATATATATATATAGATTTATAGATCTGGTTGCATTATCCTGGTTTGTCGATCTTCATTCTGAACATGTTTTTTCAGTAAGTCCATCACTTGATTGTCAAATTCAGGTGGAGTCGGTTTAACACCAGTCGCCCAATAGAATATATCCCAGTCGTTGGATGGTAAATTTATAAGTCGATCATATAGTCTTAATTGCGTGTCATCGAACGCATTCAAATACTTGTGTGCAAAGGTGCTAAGAAGCAGACCATTCTCCAACATCCCACGTTTACGAGATTGATACGTCAATCTAAAATGATCGTAGACGTTTACGTGTGTCGACACGTAAAGGATGATTCTGACATTAACTACAAAGTATGACTACGTAAAACGTTACGTCAACTACAGTTACGTACTAAAGTAAAGAACACCATATATGTAGAGGATATGTGTACAGTGTACCACGCGCAACGCGAGACGCGAGACCTCGAAACAAGTATGCTACTTTCTATCATATTGGGATCGGATCATATTCGTTGATTGTAAGAAAAAACGATACTCTGTGAACGATACCGTGCTCTTTTGAGATTTGTATTCTCTCCGTCGCGTTCCGCGTAACGTGGAATGCCAGGTTCCCGACCTTCTGGATGAATCAAATCTTGAAAATCATCTTTCCGCCTGCAGCAACTTACCGACACATCTCTCGCAAGTACAAGCGGTCTGATCTGAGGTATAATTTTTATCTCTCTCATTACAGATTCAATAGAAAGCTTTATCCATTGTTCAGTATTCTCAAACTTACCCGGGATATGACCCGCGTGCTCATAACATTCATCACGCGGTATGTGAGTTAACTCTCTTCGTGCAAGTAACCTTAACCTTTTTTGCTATTACTAATATAATCGAGATTCGAGATCAATCGAGACACGAGACCTGTCAGTCCTGTCACCTGTGTCGCAACTGATCGAGACATCGAGATCGAGATCGAGATTCGAGAATCGAGAATCGAGAATTGAGTCAATCGAGATAGATTGCGCTGCGCCGGCACTCGGCAGCCGGCTGCGCGAGCGAGCGTTTCGGCAAGCCCAGCTGGGCGGCCTACAGGCGCTCGTTCCAGTATTGCAGTAGTTCCGTAGAATTTTAGTATACTTCAGTGGTTCCACAGATGGTTCTCTCCAGGTTCCAGAGTTGGCATGTATTTCAGTCAAATGGAACAAGTTTGAAATTTAGCGAGAGCGAGAACGGACGTAAAGTAAAAGTTAAAGTTGTAGTTGGATATAGGCTCAAGCTCCAGTAGTAGAGTCTAGTGCAATGTGCAATGAAAAAAGTGCGCGGCAATAAAAAATGAGCCGACTATCGATAATATCGATATCGATCATATCGATGTGTCAAATGTGCCAAATGCTCCAAAATGTGTGCAACGGCAAACTGCAAATGTGTTAAAGTTGTCAAACGGCTTGAAAGAGTTGAAAGAGAGAATCACGACGGTGACGGGGGTGGTGATGGCATCTAACAACGAATCTCAAATCCTCGCCGTGATCGGTGATCGTGATCTGATGACAGGCGGTAACGAGTATGCGCAGCTGTCGTTACCGTTGTCACAGTCGTCGAGTAAATCTGGTAAGCCCTAAACCCTAAACCCTAAACCCTAAACCCTAAACAACGATAAAACGATCGCGTTTCTACGTATGTATGTACATTCAACAACGTCGGGCTGATCGCTGATCGCGCTGATGGTCGTGAAAAGATCAGAGCCCTGGCCAAAGAGACATACACAAGATCTGTCGCATAAACCGCGTTCTCGATGTCGATGTCGTCCGCGACACGTTTAGCTTTAGCTCGTATGTGTCACCTGGAACTGGAAGTAACGCACCATCACCGTAGCTCGTCGTTGGCGGGACATGTGCTCGAGAGCTTTTCAGCTTTCTCAAGATTCACGTATCTCGAGTCTTCTTTGTCACCTGCGATGACGCCGCGAGCTTTTTAAACATGTGATATGACTTGATTATCACTGACCAGTGACCACGTTCCAGGGCCACGAACGATCAAGTCCGATGACTTTCAGTAGAAGCATGCATGTATGTATGTGTCTTCTTGTTGTGTCTTTTCTCTTTCCTCTCCTCTTCCTCTCTTTCACTTTAGTTGAATTTAAACCTCTGAGAATATGATAACAATATATCATAGGAGAGTAATTTTTTCTTGCAGATGGAACATGGGAAGACGCGTTATATATATATATATATATATATATGCTCGAGTATTCTTCTACCTTAGAAAATATGCGAGATTGTGTGTAGATTTACAGAATTATTAGAACGTGAATAAACACAAAAAATGATGATACTAGACTTTTGTTGATGAGCTTGTAACGAACATCAGGTGAGAGAGAGAGAGAGAGAGAGAGAGAGAGAGAAAGAGAGAGAGAGAGAGAGAGAGTGTGTGTGTGTGTGTATTTTGTAACACGTTTAGAGGAAAGAGAGGCCAAGTTGTATCATAAGGACATACACATACATACGTACATTATTTAAATTCTGCTTCTCCATGCAGACTATACTCTCGTACAATGGATATTGGCGTTGTCAAAATTGCAGAAGATAAAGATTTTGAGAAATTGAAGCAGTTGTATGACGATAATAACAACTGGAAATTAGATTATAACAAGCCTGATCTATCTGTTTGGACAAAATCCGTCCCAGGAATTAGTTTTAGAATGGTGAAGGTAAGTTCTCTCTCTTCATTGGCAAATGACGTTTTAGTCTTTGATCGAGACGTTAACTCGAGCTTAACGTCACAGATTAGAACGCGTTTCCCCGATATTTCACCAGAAACCCTGTACGACGTTTTACACGATCCTGAATATAGAAAAGTTTGGGACACTCATATGATTGAATCGAAAGATATAGGGTTTTTTAATCCAAACAACGATATTGGTTATTATTCCAGTGAGTATAACGTTTACGAATCTTTGAGTTTTAACTTTTATATCGGCCATATCTTGCTTTATATTATATTACACCGTTGTACAAATTTTAGTGGCATGTCCGTCTCCGTTAAAAAATAGAGACTTTGTCCTGCAACGATCTTGGTTAGATACCGGTATAGAGCAATTGATATTGAATCATTCCGTTTATCACAAAGATTACCCACCTAGGAAACACTTTGTACGAGCAACGTCTTACCTCACAGGTAAAAATACTAGGAAGCAAGTCAAAACGCGTTTTATGCGCGCGTATGCATATAACTTTTACATTTAATATAACGTTATACCATCTTTCGTATGTGTCCAAAAGTATTGTTTATATTTAAGGCTATATTGTAAGGCCTTCGCGCAATGGAGACGGTTCCGAGTTGGGTTACGTATCGCACACAGATCCACATGGCAAATTACCTGTGTGGCTCGTTAATAAAGTTACACAAATATTTGCCCCTAAAGTGAGGTTCTTATGAAAAATATTATTAAGCGGTATCAAGTATCGAACACAAATAAATGTAACATTTGTTTACAAAGCTATACTTTGTAGATGGTAAAAAGATTGCATAAAGCCTCTGTGGGCTACCCAAGCTGGAAAGTACTTAATAATCCAAATTTTAAGCCTTGGCATTATCCTGAGCAAATAATGGCACCTAGAATACGTATCGAAGAAGTAAGGACGAACTTTTTTTTATACAAGTTTTCGTGTTTTATTTTATTTCTTTAATTAAAATTTTAACTCGACGATATTTTGACAATCCACACGAAAGATATATATTGTCTGTGAATAAATAATACCGACTATATGACATTTTTCTGCAGATGCAGTTTTTGACTTTGATTATTCCATATTATCATTCTACAGGGCTTGGATCACCAAGTTCCATGAATACATATTGTTTATAAATAAATTTCAATGTTTATTCGAAAAGTTATAACCCGGATCCGGGTATATTTTATTATATATTTCACTTTTGGCACAATTTTTTGCCTCTCTTGAAAACTTGACTACGTGTCATATAGGCGGTATTATTTATTCCGTGACTGCATACACACATACACACATATAGACTTTGTTCTTTATCCTATGTAGTTGGCAAATACAAATGTTTAAAAGCCAATTCTATGACATGTACGCAAACTTGATTTTTACAATCGTGTATTATTAATTCGTTTCAGTGCGTAAAATCTGCAGAAGAGAAGAATTCAAAATATAATTATGTAGACGAATCTGATTTAAAGGAAAGTTTGATTAGAGAATCTGTCGCAATGGATAGCGATTAATTTATAGCGATATAATAGAGAGACATGAGGATTTTTAGGTAAGTAGGATAATAGTGACTGGAATAATAAAAACAGTGTAATGGAAAGTTTTAGTTGCAGTATTACAGATGAAACGTAACGGACACGTTGTACACGTATTAACAAGTTCGATTTGCATACGTCTTACATGATAAATTTTAATTACACATAACGTAACATTTAATATTATATAACGTTAAAAGTTAAGGCCACACAGTTATCATGGCGTGAAATCGCCTTATGTGCGGACACGGCTGTATGTAAACACGTCAATAAGAAAACTATCGGTGGCCTGCTTTGCATTAGGCACTACGTTCAAGCCAAGTAATGTTGTTGGTATTGTTAAAGCGCGCAAATACAAGTATAATAAGAAGATGCCGCACAATATGGAAGGTATACTTGAAACTCTTTTTATAATTTATATCACAGTGCGAGGTCGCGTATGCCTTGATATAACCATCTGATCCATCTTCTATATTGTGGACATTGTATACGTTATTGTTACTTATTATACATATATTACTAAATCTTAAAAAAAAATTATATATATATACATACATACACAAAGTACGTGCAACTTTTTCTAGTATCAAAGAATGTAATGCGAGTAGAGTTGGTAACAAGTTTTCAAATGCTTTGATAAAAATCGGAAGATTCAGCTATAGCACTTCCGTCAAAGCGACATGGATGAAAGCGACGTTGTTGTAAAGGACATGTTTGTTTTTATTGTAAAAAACAGATGGGCATTTTTTTTCTATCCGCAGATGCCTAGATGTTACACGTTTAACGTAAAACAAACGGCTTAATATCGATAAATTCGAGTATACATATACGCACACATAACTCGACCGATTCTCCACGTGTCATTTTAATAGAGTTTTATTCGTAATGTTTATAATTGTTTACCACTTCTTTTGGCAAGTGTGCCAAGAAGGCGTACGAACAAAAATGCGAGTATAAATGATAAATGGTACCACATTTCTTTCATAGTCTCCTGATTTTACGTATAGTAAATATGTGGGAGAGAGTTAGTGTAAGACCCGTGTCAAACTTGAACAGTGTATTAAGAAGGTGAAAAGGAACAACGTTTCGTGTTTAAGGTTCGATCGATACCGCAAAAACAAAAGATTCGGGCAACGCGGCGTTGAAAGGTGCAGATAGGAGAAAGTAAGCAAAAAAAAAAAAAAAAAAAAAAGATGGCAGATTATATATGTTCGCCAAGTTTGAGACAAACAATTTTTAGAAATACTTTGTATGGTACATTTCACTATACAAATGGATGTATGCTAATTTAATTAATTATTAACCAACTAACAACGAGACGGCCTAGAAACTTGTAGATATACCGTAAGGCTAAAACTTGATATACACATATACGTCAAATCTTAATTTTTACATTTCTTCGGTCTTTGGAAAATATACAAGATCTACGCAATAAATATTTATAGGGCGTAATCGATTACTTTGTAAAGGTCACAATAAAACGTTTTCAAACGGCTTTATTTAAATAATTATTATACATATATACAGAGAAGAGGTTATTCATATAGAGAGTCAAGTACAGTATCGATAATGCAAAGTGAAGGAAAAGTCGAGAGCAATATTGACTCTGTTATAAAGAGGACTTTGAAAAGCGAGGCCT